GTCCGACAAGAGTGTCACATAAGAGTGTCCTACAAGAGTGTCCCACATCCCACAAGAGTTTCCTACACGAGTGACCCACAAGAGTGTCCTACGAGTGACCCACAAGCGTGTCCTACAAGACTGTCCCGCAAGAGTGTCCTACAAGAGTGTCCCACAAGAGCGTCCTCCAAGAGTGTCCCACAAGAGTGTCCTATAAGAGTGTCCCACAAGAGTATCCTACAAGAGTGTCCACTGAGAGTGATTGACAAGAGTGTCCTTCAAGAGTGTCCCACAAGAGTGACCCGCAAGAGTGTCATACAAGAGTGTCCACAAGAGTGTCCTGCAAGAGTGTCTCGCAAGAGTGTCCTACAAGAGTGCCCCACAAGAGTGTCCCACAAGACTTTCCGACAAGAGTGTCCCACAACAGTGTCCCACAAGAGTGTCCTACAAGAGTGTCCCACAAGAGTGTCCCACAAGAGTGTCCTACAAGAGTGTCATTTGGACATTTGTTTTTGGCCGACAGTGACACTCCGCCGTCGCATGAAAGATTCCCGGACAAGAAGGGGGAGAAGCTGCAAATTGGGGAGAGCGGGGGTGAAGGTCGAAGTGTGGCCACAAGAGCCGTCCGCAAGAGTCACAATGAGTGGCCCTTTATTTTAGATCTTGTTTGCCTGCTCATGTGGCTGACGAACCTCGACGTTAGCGAGCTGAACCAGAAAAAACATGACACACGCAAGCACTTTTTGAACGTGTTTGCATTCGGGTTCGCGGGCTCCATCCTTTTTTAATGTAATATATATATATATATGCCTGGTCCAAACTGTGCAATTAAAAATACTTTACTTCGAGTGATCCCGACCATGACATTTCAATCATTTGTTTTCATGTCATGGTATCCCACCCCTGAGAAAGTGTCACACGTATTAACAAACTACAGTAGCGTCTCAGCAGGCATTGTAGTTACTTGCTGTTGGTCCGGTACTGCCCGCTGCTATCTGCCACTTGCGGTTGAGGTCCTGTAGTGCCCGCTGCGATCTCGCACTTTACTGCCCACTGCGATCGGGAGCTGGCGGTTGAGGTCCGGCACTGCCCACTACGATCTGGCGCTTGCCGCTTGCGGTTGAGGTCCGGCAGTGCCCACTGCGATCGGGAGCTGACGGTTGAGGTCCGGCAGTGCCCACTGCGATCTGACGCTTGCGCTTGAGGTCCGGAAGTGCCGACTGCGATCCGGAGTTGGCGGCTGAGGTCCGGGAGTGCCCACTGCGATCTGGCACTTGCAGTCGTGGTGGCGACGGGGCGGAGGGAGGAGGAGCAGGAGGAGGAGGAGGAAGGACGAGGAGGGAGAAGATAACAGACCTCACCTGGCAAGTGGGGAACGCTTTCACCCGTCGGCTCTACGTCGAACCGTCTCCAAAACGTTTGCAATGCTGAATGTAGGGCTAGGCAATTCTTGCGAGCATCGCCATGACGCTCAGTGAGCGGAGAAAGCTGAGAAAGGCTTGGATCAGGCTTGATGTCTGGCTTTTGCACATTTTGGCCGCATGTTGATGGAGCCAGAAAACATTTGTGGTCTACAATGTAGTCCTCAAACTCCGTGATGCAAGGTCCCAGGATACGCAGAAGAACTCAAGTATGTCGACGCAGCTTCTTTAAACGTTACTGTAAACGGTTTGAAGAAAATGGCCGGCTCGTGAAATACCCACGTGTTTGCCCGCCTTAGTAACCTGGGGCAGCTCCACTTGAACCACAACCCTTGCCTGGGTCAAGGGACGGCCCCACTGAGAAAGTCTCTGCCGGCTGTCCGCGTTCGGGATTTATATAGTAATTGAAGCTTCGGATCAGAATTTTCAGACAACCAGTTCAAAAATATCAAGAATTTAAAAGAAACAAATGCGAGGATATCCATGACGACACCAAGGTAAAACTAGTTTCTGTGACAATTCCAAGCAGGGCATCACAAACTGCCATCAGGGATTTAAGCATTGTGTAGAGGATTTAGGTTTGTAAGGGTAATTTTTTTGGTCAGGCAACACATCTATTTATGATGTGTTTGCTCGTCTAAGTCGTTTGCCCTTCCTTGAGATAAGCACTTGCAATTGTGTTTCGTTGGGCCTGGCATCACTTTTGCACATGGACTTTCATACTATCAGTTGTTCTTTGGAAAGCTTGTTTGCGCAGCCTATCCCTACAATTTCCTTCGCTTCAAGTTCCTGCAGGTTCCTTTACTTCTTTCTGCCATACTTTCATCATTCCTTAAAACGTATCTTTGAACGTCCTTCTTTGCTTTGTCCTTGCCAGAAATGTTTGCAGGCTCGTGCGGAACCATCTGATCGCGCAGGATGTTGCCCTGGGGTCTTGTGGCTGGGCCAGAACTTGTTTGAAACATGTTGAAACCAATATTGAATCACACGTCAATTGTGAGACTTAGGACTTAGGATTCATGAGCACCCTGAGGTCTGCTGCAGCAGAGCTTTGTTTGGATAGCAAGTTGTTGAAGAGACTGGATGGTGAGCCCCAGGAGTTTGATGTTTCTTGGCATTTTTTGTGATCCATGTTGAGCATGCATTCGCTTGCAGAACAATTTGCATACTAATTATATATATACATCATGTGTTTGTAGATTGGTTTTATATATAAGTGGTTTTCCACATCCAATCTTGTCCACCAAAACAAATTCACCTCCAGTAAAGGTCGTCATTGAAAAGCGGAGGGGGGGGGTGTTGCCGCTTCAAGCCATTAGGCCTTGACGCTTCATCTCAGTGCTGCCTGCGGTGGAAGTTCGGCGCTGGAAGTGCTACTGGAGCGTGGTTTCGCAGTGAACCATCGTTTCGACCTCAGTTTGTATTGTATTTCTTTGTTATTGTGTTCCAAAAGATCGAGGAACCAAATCATTAAGTCATCAAGCTTGGTAACCTCAGTAGCTACTCCTACTTCTTATATAGCTCTTAGCTATTACTTAGCCTCATCTTTGCAGTGTGTTCTTCAATTTTGCTAGTATTGCACCTTCAACCTTTAGGTGACCCACAAGGTCGCACAGCGCTGCATTTGGCACGAGATGGACCGGCGGCTGAAGTATTGCTAGCAGCAAGGGCAGACATCAATGGAGGCCAAATCTTGGCTGTACAGTGGCAAGTCCAAGTACTTCACATCATGTAATCCATTGAATCATATTCTTGGACCATATTTCATCAATGTTCAAGGTAGGTCAAATAATTTGGTACACAATTGTTGCAACGAACCAGCTTGAACATGTTTTACCAAGTCCGATCGCATTCGGTTGTGATGCTACTAGCCAGCATGGCTAATTTCAGAAGATTCAGAAGTACCAACACAAGGAAGTATCAAGGTCATTCAAGTTCATTGTTCGATAGTTTTGTTTGTTGCCTTGTCGCCTTCGAGCTGGCCAGTTGACGGTGATGGTGCCACAGCACTTCATTTGGCTGCAACACGCAGAAGTGGCGAAGCTCGACTGAAAGTGGAACTTGCTATTGCCAGATGGCAGAATATTCCAGTGTTCAGGGTAAGCCGAGTGCAGCGTTGTGGTATTGGGCTGAAGTCATCATGGTTGCAAACCTGAATCTTGCCTATGCCACTGTTCACGAGGCTTCCGTGGTGGAGGCGCTGTTGAAAGCTCGTGCAAATGTGGAAGCCAGAAACCATGAAGGCCTTCGGGCTGCGGATATTGCTTTGCAGGCTTCGCAGGGTGAAAGTTCACAGGGATTGTGCACGTGGGGGGGCTGTGTTTTGAAGCTGCCTATATAGCTGTCCAAGAATTTTCGCGGTTGCTGAAATGTCCAAGGGTGGCTCATTTTATTCTGTCAGTTCCGATACTTCAGTGCAGCATCACGCTAAAACGAGAGTGGACCAAAGTTAAGAAAAAGCATGAAATGGCTAAGAAGGCTTGCTAACCGTGGTTTGGAATGTTTGAGAGAGAGTCACCATATGGCGGTGTCTCTTTTGTACGTCTTTTCAACATCAGATGGCCCAGGATGTGCTTGAGCTCCTTTCCACCGCTTCACCCACTAGAGCAGATGACCCGTTGAGAGCAGACGAAACAAAAGAGACAGGATGCTGCAACAGTGCTGATTTGTGACTGCACAGTTTGCAAATGTGGTTGTGTATTATTGAATATTGTAAATTGTAAGTGGATTCTACTTCAGCCAGGTGGATTTTGGATCCCAAGTTGGATCACAATGGTTTGCCAGAGGCAAGAAGCTAAAACGTCAGGAGTCAGAAAGCGCCCCCAATAGGGTGAGTTCTCAATGAATTGTTAGGCTCACACACTTTGCTGCGGACAAAAGTATATATATATATATGTGTCGGGCACACACGTTTGCTGCAGGGTGGTGGTCTCCGCATTCTTGATCCTTCTGCAAAATGCCTGGACAGCCGCTATGCAAAGGATTGGAACCGGAGAGATGGCCACTTGGCATGTGACAGAGAGGAGTCCAATGCTTCAAGTCTTAGGCAGTATGACAGAAGAAGAGGAACAACTGTGTTTTTTTCTGCTGAAGAGAAGCAGGTCCCAAGTACTCACCCATGGCCGTGATCCCTGATCGTAGAGCAATCTATGACTTTGACTGGCAAGGCACGCTATTTTGGAGCGCATCGAAGCAGTTTAGTCTTCCTTGGGTTCTCTTGGGCGTTGAAAAAAGACAAACATTCACATGGTGACCTGCATATGCCCAGGTGTAAAGCCTCCTGGACTTCACTTGAAAGATTTGGTGATCTATGAGACCCATGTTCGGGGCTTCACTCGGACACTTTGCTCCTTCAGCTTTGTCTAAGCCAGACGAAATGAATAGTCGAATTCACACATGTGTGGCATTCCGACCGAATCTTGGTGCTTATCCTTTGGCGAGGAATCCAGACAGCAAGCTTCAAGACTGGGACGCCACAGCAGGCACCTTCTTAGGCGTGCGTCACACATGCGGTTTGCTGCTCCCGGACTTTCGAGACATGTTTTTGTTTTTCACGAGATTGCCCCTCAGTTCTGCAAACCCTGAGGGTTCATACAGAAGATCCCACACCTGCTGCACATGGGCATCAACGCAGTTGAGCCTTTGACTCAGTGGTTTGATAAAGTACGATGTTACTGTAGTTTACTTGACATGCTGAAATTGAAGCAGCTAATCAGCTTGAGGAAGAGGTTGATCAAAAGTCCACAAAAGCTTGTGGTGGTGTTTGCCTTTTCAATACAAACCTGCACAAAGAACAAAGGCAACTCAGGCCATGTTTGAACAGAGCAAAGATTATCGAAGTCATGTTCGCCCTGAGATTGCTTCCTGTCTTCGAGTTCGATGAGACCGCGTGTCCAAGGACACAAGTGATGCTACTGTAACAGATTTGCTAACAATGTTGCAGCAAGTTGCAAAAAAGTCTTCCAATATCTTCCAATGGCCTACGTATTACGGTGATCCAGGCAAGGCACAAAATAATGGCATTCCATCCTAATCATTCGGCAGGAAGAACCCCAAAAATGGTGAGCAGCTTTGCCATTTCTGGGGATATTCCACAGCTTCTTGGCCTGGACATTGAATCATTATCAGATATCATGCTAACTAAGCAAGTTACTGGAGTCCAATGCGTGATGTTATGATACCACTAGTCAACTGCTTCGCTCCAAGGTTAATTTTTGTGTTCCGATGCAGCGCTTTTCTTCCCGCATCTTGGATCTGTGTGGAAACACTAAAGCAATACAATACCGCGCTTCTTTGCATTTGCTGGCCATGGTCTTGCCAATTCTGTGCTATGTTCTATTTGGCCGAGGAGACCGCATTGGTGCTGCTATCGTTGGTTTTAAGACTATGGTTAGCGGCTTGGCACCATATTCTGTATTCTGGCCTGTTTGCTGTGCTACGTAAATGTCTTTCAATTGCCAAGGAGAACTCCACCGTCAAGGCATTGAAGTTATCCTGGATGTTGTCTTCAACCATACCGCAGAGGGTGCTGTGGGCGGCAAAAGCAAAGTAAGGTTTTGCTCTATGTTCATCACACTGTGCTGTTTTCTTGCTTGCTTCCGTTGAGTTGATGTTTGGTCGTTTCTGCTCTTTGCTGCTACCACCTGCCGCTACTTGCTTTCCTGCTGCTGTTTTATCACAACCGGTCAACAAGAGGAAGTCACAAAGTCAGATACAACAAACGGCTTGATGAAAGCCACCCGCACTGGAATACAGCACGGAGGTCAAAGCACAAAGCAAGAAGCAGAAGGTGTGCAAGCACGGCCTTGCCCGTACATGGCCGTAGTGGTGAACAAACAATCAAGCAAATGAGAGTTTCAGTCAAGATCATGTGTACACTTTATCAATGTAAGCACGGACATCATCAATAATGGAGTTTGAAAAGCTAGTTGATCCTGCAGAGCACATGTGATCAAAACAGGATACTTGAAGTTCTCTGTAAATCTTGGGCTCAGATATTGCAAGTCCTGTAGATGTTGCAATGTCGGCAACTTCAAAAGCTCACAGTGTTGATGTTGCATTGGCGCGAAGAACCTGGAATCAAAGAACTGCATTCCCTTGCAACATCAGTGAGGAGTGACAATCCCATTCCACAGCAGTGAACTCTGAAAGGACATGAGCACATAATGTCACACAATAGCCAACTTGAGTTCAAGAGGCAAATCAAAAAGGCAGAGACACTGGCCATATTCCTCAACTCTGGAGGGAAAAAGGACAGTGCGTCCAGCTGAGAGCCCTTGTGATTCAAGTCGATGGCCATAGCAAGAGTTACAAAGTGCCTAATGTCAGACATGACTATAGTGGCTATGTATTGTGCGAGGTCAGCCCCCAGTTCCTGTAGAAGATTGGCAAAGACGCTTCTCAGGTGCTTGGGGCGAGCACTATTGGCACAGCTGGGCGGCTATTGCAAAGCATCGCTACTACATCCTGAGCCATGGTCAGGACACAAACTACACAGGCGTTGAAGCAGATTTCAACTATATAAGTGGACTGACTGTCGCGCCGGAAGCCGAGTTGCGAACCGTCTCGAAAGTTCACAAAAGGAGGAAAAGCGCCTGAAGCAAGATGCGATTAAAGCGTTTGTGGTTTGCATCTTCCTGGTTTTCGTGTTTCTTTCTTTGGACCAGTTTTTTAGAGTTTCAGAAAAAGACCTGGTAGGTTGTGGAAACACTGTCAATGCCAATGACCCGATGTGTTCAGACTGGATCGTCGAATGTTTGAGCTGCCTGGCCTGAAACTGGGCATGTTTGTTGGGACCACTGGGCGTTGCAGGGGTTGGGGTGTTTCGGGTTTGCTTGGCCAGCTGAGGTTACTGGGTAGATGAGATGCACGTTGATGGATTCCGCTTTGATTTGGCGTCTGCCCTCACAAGGGGCAATGATGGCAAGGTATCTCTTCAAGATTTGTTCCCTTTAGGGGAGAAGCACGCTAGCACACAGTGCTGGCACCGATACTTTGGAGGTAAGGAAAGCATAAGAAGGATGAAAACTCAAGCTGCCGAAGCTGCAAGAAATGAGTCCGTCCAGGTATCAATGGATCCGCTGCTGATGAGGAAGATGGCCAATGAGCCAAAGTTGAAGAAGCTTCGGCTTGACCCGCAGTGTTCATGTTCAAAGGATACATATACCAGAGACTGTCGCATGTGGAACGAAGAGAACTTGGATTTGCCCTTGTTGACCAAGCCAAGGAGAGCAAAATTCATTGCAGAAGCTTGGGACTGCTCTTGGCCTGACGGTGACGAGGTTGCACTGGATTCTCAGGAGAGCCATGCAAGACATTCATGGGAGTTTATCCAAAGGGGCGCGTAAGGGGTTTTGTATGGTTTGATTTACAACGACCTTTTGGATGCGGCGCGAATGATCCGCGATGAGGTTCGCAAAAGTTGCAGTAGATCCCTTCTACCTACATTTATATAGTAGTTTGTGTGAGTGTGTGGTGGGTGTGATGTAGTGTAACGCGTGTTGTGGTGATGTGCAGTGCGGCAATTTGTGTGGCGCGCGTGGCGTGATCCATTTTCCTATGTGTCCGTTGCAGTTGTGTCAGTTGTGTAAAATGATGTAAAATGCGAAGATCTTATGGCACAAGATTTTCGAGTAAATTTCCTTGAAGAATCTTTCCCGGGCCGGCCCCTGAAAAATGTAAGGTCTCCTCAACAGGAACTGCCAGGTGCAAAAAACATAAAAATGGCCTGGCGCGGCCATAAACGAATCTCTAAAATAATGGTTCCTGTTATTTGCTCGCCATTCCGATGCCACACACTCGAAATAATGCGTTCCGAGAACGAATGCCACATGCCACGCGCCCACCTAGGTATGAACGCCTAAGAAACCAGGGAGTATGAAACCTGAAAGGAAAGTGGAAAGGCGTCTAACCACAAGAGCAACCTCTCAAAATCTGGATTCACAAGATCGTATCAAAGCTCAAGACAAATTGCACATCTCCCGATGAAGAACCGCTGCAAAGGCTGGACACATTGTTCTAGTTACAATCAGGGACCATAAGGAAATAAGCTTTTGCTTTAGCACTCATGCAGGTACGTGATCCCAGCGTCCCAGGATCATATCAGCCATGGAATGCAGCCCTCTTCGTTGGACAACCAACTGCATCCATGGGGCTGTCCCGGAACAAAAGCAAAATCAACGGATTCCCTATGATTCCAAGGGTTTCACACACACTTGAGAGATTGCGTACTGAATCGGATGCCCCATGCCACACGGAAACCTAGGTGAAAAAAGGGCCTGAGTAAAACGGAAACAGTTAGGTTGGAGGTCATCGCCCTTAGGTTGGAGGCCATTGCAAACAGGTTGGGTGGCCACCACTAGTAGGGTGGAGGCCAACTGCAAGACATTCACAAGCAACTGCAAAACAGTCAGGTTGGAGGTCATTGCTCTTAGGCTGGAGGCCAGCGCAAGGGTGGTCGTCGCTAGTAAGTTGGTAACATGCAACTGCAAGACATTCACAAGCCACTGCAAAGACATGCAACTGCAAGACGTTCACAAGCAACTGTAAAGACATGCAACTGCAAGACATGCACAAGTGAACCGCCGTTACAATTAATTAGATTACAAGTGAATTCAGAAAGGACCTTAAACGATGCGGGTGCGTTTACATGGGTCCCAGAGGAGGTCTTCGTTGGCCACCGCTCCTTTAAAACCCCGGTGGCCCCCTGCTTAAAGCTGAAAGAAATTCAAAAGAATCCCTATGACTCCAAGGGTGACGCGCACACACTCCCCCCATGAAGTGAGGCGACACTTTAATCTAAGGCCGCCGACGAAGACGGGTAGGTGAGAAAGCCAGAAGTTCAGGAAAAGTTACGACTCACGGTCAGTGAAGGAAGGAAGGAAGGAAGGAAGGACGGAAACAAATGTGCACATGCGCGCGCAAGAGGGACAAAAAATGAAGACATGAGAAGAAGACGAGACAAGACCGAGGTATGTGGTTGCGATGGAGAGGAAGCCAAGTGCACAGGGACAACCGATGAGCCACACCTCCTTGCCAAAAACCTGCCTGCTTGAAATGTATGGGCGCACGTATACACACTAAGGGCCGGACCGATGTGTGCGCAAGAGAAGAAAAGGGTGAGGATGACAGGACATGAAGACAGAAAGGACATCAAAGACAAGAAGTGAAAAGAAGCCTGCAGGGGCCAATGACGCGGGAACCAAATGAAAGGGGACGAACCGATGGGAAGCCGAGCCTCGTTAAGGCACCCGTTGCAATGTAACGCACGCTGCGCGCGAAGAAGGAGGGGAAGGGGAAAAAAAGGAAAGAAAAGGAAAAGAAACGATGGTGTTCCCAGCTACGACTCAAGCGTCCAAGGACGCACCAATAGAAGATGAGAAGGGTCCCCGGGTCCCCAGCTATGACGGAAGCATCCAGAGACACCCAAGCAAGAAAGAAAGGGGTGGAAAAGAAGAAGTTATACAAGCATCATAGACCCCAGACAGCTTCAAAACGATTCGTTTAGACCAATATTAGTCAAAAATCGATTTCTTGGCACCCCCTACCTTCACCCCAAGAGCAAACTGCTTCATCAATGAATTTTTGTCGGCATTGACATCGCTATTTGTTCGGCCACACTCCTCTCCAGTAAACCGGGCCACAGAGACCAGCCACAGAGTTCAGGGGGGCGGCCAAGACAAGGACAAGAGGAGGACAAGACCACAGAGCCGGGGAGTTCAGGGGCGCGGCCAAGACAACAACACAAAGACAAGGCCCAGCAAGAGAGCCCAGCCACAGAGGACAAGAGGAGGACAAGGCCTGGGGCCTGGACACAGAGCCCAGCCACAGAGTTCAGGGGCGTGGCCAGTGAGTGTGGCCAGCTCGTTTTTCCTAAATTAAGGCTCCGGCAGACCCCAATGCGTCTTAAGAGAACTTCGGCCACGCACGCCGTGCCAAAATGGCTGGCTGCTTTCACCGCTATGGTCACCTAATGGCTTGCTCGAGCGCTGCCTGCTTGAATTCAATAAGTCAGCAAATCTTGGCAAATGACTTTGGCTCAAGCCTACTCCGCCCGCTGTGGGCACGTGCGTTTCCGAAGCACTGGAAACATGGACAAGACCCCGTTCGACGGGGCCACAGGGGACACTCCTCGGGTACACGGGCAGACACACTTGAGAGATTGCATACTGAGTCGGATGCCCCATGCCACTCGGAAACCTAGGTGAAAAAAGGGCTTGAGTAAAAGGGCAACAGTAGGCTGGAGGTCATCGCCCTTAGGTTCGAGCCCATCGCAAAGAGGTTGGGTGGCCACCACTAGTAGGGTGGAGGCCAACTGCAAGACATTTACAAGCAACTGCAAAACAGTCAGGTTGGAGGTCATTGCTCTTAGGCTGGAGGCCAGCGCAAGGGTGGTCGTCGCTAGTAAGTTGGTAGCATGCAACTGCAAGACATTCACAAGCCACTGTAAAGACATGCGACTGCAAGACATGCACAAGTGAACCGCCGTTACAATTAGATTACAATTGAATTCAGAAAGGACATTAAAACGGTGCAGGTACGTTTACACGGGTCCCAGAGGAGGTCTTCGTTGGCCACTGTTCCTCTGGGACCCCGGTGGCCCCCTGCTTAATTAAAGATGAAACAAATTCAAAGAATCCCTATGACTCCAAGGGTGACACACACAGCTTGCACACTCGCATGTTCATATCAGTTTGTCACCTGCAACAGCATATCAGCTGAACAACTTACGTTTGACTAACTTTCTTGCCATTTGAAGCCCCTTTGATATATTTCAGTTGTGGTTTTGTTTTGACAAGTCCGCTGGACATCATGTTCGGTTGCGATCAGCAGCAGAGGAAAAACAGAAAAGGCAAATCAGAATTAACGCATTCAACAACAAGGATCCAACCACGGCAGTCATGCAGACAACACCCAAAACACAAGGTGTTTTATGGTGTTGTTCCTTGATTAATCATGAATTGTTTGCGAGTTGGAAAACTGGCCAAGGCTACTTGGTTGGAAAGTTCCCATCTGGTGGACCTCCCAGATGGGCCGAGTGGCAACTTGGCACATCAACCCCACCTCAGAGCGTTGAACAAACCAGACCTTAGAGCCTGCCGTTTCATGTCTTTTTCAAGACCAAGGAATGGCATTTTCCGAGATACTGTCCGTTGTTTTATCAAAGGAGATGAGGGTAAGAAGGGCGACTTTGCCACCAGGCACGTGTGTCAAGCGATCAGCCAGCATTAGTAGAAATTGTGCACGTATGACTCAGAACAGAATTCAACCCAGTAGTCTCATTAGATTCAATTAGATATCCCACCAATGGAGTAAGCACATGGAAGATATTTTGGCAAAGTTTCAATACATGCCGCGTGAAAGGCAACGCGATTCACAAGTAGGGCCTAGCAGCTAGCAGGGCGATTCGCAAGCTAGCAAGTCATGAGTTCGTCCTTCCACCAAACTCGCAAAGTGAAGGATTTGCGGGAGCTCAGACCTCTTCAAGCACAATGGGAGGAAGCCTTACCACTCCATAAACTTCATCACTGCACATGATGGATTTACCCTCAAGGACTGTACTTAGTCGCAATCTGCGTGCAACTGTCCAAGCGTTCATTCGGCCTTCTCAACTAGGATTTGGTATCTTACAACGGCAAGCACAACACCTGCAATGGCGAGAATAGCGGAGATGATCACAACAACTCCTGGAACTGTGGCTACGAAGGTGAAACAGGCAAGCCATGTTGGTGCAGCACTGTTCTTCTAGTTTCGCAGCGCAATACCAACTCACTTTCTGGCTGACTCATATGATCCTGTGGCCAGGGGATGGCGGTGTCAAGCACCTTCGCAACAAGCAGATGAGAAACTTCTTAGTCGCGCTGTTCATGAGCGCTGGGACACCAATGACCTTTGCTTTGAGATGGTGACCAAATCTTTTGTTGTTTTTGGTGCCGCTTTGTCCTGTGTCTTTGCTTTCCACTAAAGAGACGAGTTCATGATATACAGTGATAGCCATGATCATGCATGTTTATCAAAGTATGTCAACGTGTGTTGCCTGATGGGCTATAGTCAGAATTGGGGAAACTCGTTCAACAAAAAATCGCGAGAACAACATTCTGTGTCTAGTCTACTGGGCAACTCTCCTCTACTCTACTGAAGTGAAACACTTTGCTTGGTTGGAGGGACTTGAAGCGGTGTTTGTTTGATCTTTGTGTGGCCTGCGGGAGCCTGCAGGAGCCGGCGCCGATCAAACATGGCAGAGCATCAAAAGAACATCATTTCATCAACGCGTTGGAACAATTGAGTTTGGTGCCAAGTGCCACAAAGATTCAAAACCTACGCCGATTTCGGGAAGATCCAGACCTCGTGATGACATGTTGTATGCTTCACTTGGCCTAAGACTAATGATTATGTGTGCCTTTAGCCAGACTTGTGAGAAGTCAGAAAGGATCCTCTATGGCGATGAGTATGGCCGATCTCAGTGGGGCTGCAACAACGGCTGGTGTCAAGATACAAGATGCTGGTTTTCCTGGAGTTTCTCTGCTGCAGATGAGTTTCATGATAAAATAAAGCTGGGCTGATACAGTTTAAGTTTACAACAGGGAAGCAACCAGATGGGGCATGGCATCTCACTGGCTAGAAAGCGGTGTGAGTGCATGTTCAATGAATGGAAGAGAAAAAATAGTGTCAAGATATGTCATGTATTTTGGACGTAGGAGCAATTTTCGCTACTAGGAACAAAGGGCATCGCTACTAGCAACAAGAAGGCTACTAGGGGCTCCTGGCCTCGCTACTAGGAGCATGGACGCTACTAGGAACAAGTGCATCGCTTCTAGTAACAAGTGCCTTACTAGTAGTAACAAGAAGCTACTAGGGGCTCCTGGCCTTACTACTAGGAGCAAGGACGCTACTAGTAACAAGGGCTCCTAGTATAGCTGAGCTTTACGTCTCCCGGTGCGGTTTCATAAGGAACGTCCGGTTTCATAAGCAGTCAAATTGACATGGCTCTTTTATGCTTTGTACATCACAGTAATTGCGTTTGCGTGACGGAAAGCAGCCACATGCCTGATAAATAACAGTCTGGTAATGTGTGGTACTTTCTCGAAGTCAGAGAGATCAATCAAATGGACCGGAATGCATGTTTAAAGGCATTGCGTGGACAGACACATGCTTGGCATGTTTCTTGTCGAAGGAATCGAGTAGCATCATTTTGCGTTGCGATTACAGTGAATGTTAGATGTTACGTTGCAATCACAATTGTCCTCAAGTCCTCGCAGAGCCTCCAGTTTGTACTCTCACTTATATAGTAATAACATCACCAAGGTGATTGTGAGAAAGAACAAGACAGACTGATCAGATTTACAAGGCTTTTGATATCCTTGAGGACATAGTCTTGCTCCGTTTTCACTTGGAAATTCTCAAGTTTCTTCCACCGCCTAAGCGCAGGAAGAATTACTCGGGCATTTTCAATCGAGAGGAATTCGTCAGCAACAAGGAGTGTTCTGACATCATGAACATCGAATCGAATCTTTCTCAAACTTGATAGCAGCATGGCACAGGAGTTCACGTGTGTTTGTTCGCTTTGTAAGATTGATGATTGGCAGAAGTGCAGGACATTTGGTGGCGAGTGCATTGGGATGATCCATACAACTACATTTGCTACGTGCTCCATGATCACCATGTGTCCTGACCAGCCTTGAAGATGCCAACAACCTGTCAATTCTGCCCCGTGACAACCACGTGGCCATGTGAAACCGATTCCCACATCCTTGGAAACAGTGCTCCTGATTGTTCTAACACACCCAACAAGCCGTCAGGGGCAAACTGTTCTTTTTCTGCGTCAAGAAACTTACGTTGAAGATTCTGTGCTTGTGTCGCTTCAATATTTGACTCGAAGTTGCATGGCCTTGCTGTTGCCCCAGACGCTCTTGTCAGGCCACTGGGCAAGGTTACGCTGGCCTGCTGGTGGCGTTCAATGCTGGTCATGAGGTGCCGGTCACATTCGGGTGGGTCATTCGGGTGGTCAGTTCCTGGGTAGCTCGTGGCGACAATCCTTCATTGTGTCCGTCTCGACTGTTACGCACATTGGCGATTGCTGGGCCGAGGTGCGGAGTTGCAACCTTCCGGAAGGAAAGCCTTGGTATCGTTCCTGGGCGATTTTGCACTCCAGTGTTTGCAATCTTGTTCCTAGTAAGGCCAGGAGCTCCTAGTAGCTTCTTGTTCTATGCATGTGATTCCCTTGATAGTGCTTTTGTTTTCAATCCTGAGGTATCATTGACACAAATTTGGGGCCACCAGATGACATCTGCGAAAATGAGGCTTCTGCAGTCAGGATCAGCTCACACTCCTATGTCATGACGCATGGCTAAAAGCTGGCACCAGCACATGTAATCCGTAAGTCCAGTGAGCATGCACGCATACTTAAGAATCATACCAAGTACTCTTTGTTACTAAACTATTTTTGTATTGCACCCGTGAGGGTGTGAGCCTGCTCCAATAGCTAATTGGTCTCAATTGTTGGGGGGTTGTACACATATAAACCAAAACACAAACATCTATATCTAGAACGAAACGTCCCGGATTCGTGACAACACACCATGGGATGCAAGAGTTAGACGCAGGAACATCGGACATCGAACAGGTGAACGACAGACCACGTATCCCTTCGTCATCAGCTATTAGAATTAAGTTAAAAATAAATTAATAGCTTCTTGTAACTACTAGTAAGGCACCTGTTGCTACTAGCGTGGCACTTGTTACTACTAGCTTATTGTTTCCATGTGAAAGCATACATACCATGTTGGAAAAAGGCTCACAGGAGCCAAGCGGACCGATCCACTAGACGCTGTCGACTTGTTGCACAAAGATCAAGCAAGGTTTGAGACCGCTGCAGCAAGGAGAACCTCATTGCTTCTCTCTCGTACTGTGAATCTTGATGCATTTAAGGCAGCCATACAGTTGCATTGTCCTGAAGACCTTCTCGGACAAATTGCATGTGCCATTCCAGCTGCACCTGTTTCAGCGAGTTGTAAAGGGGGCTGACACTGATTCAAGCTTCAATCAGCATGTTTTTCTAGGTGTTCCTCATTGTCACCTAAGGTCCATCAAGGAATATGCAAAGAGTGACGCGGAGTATGGTGCCGATCAGGACAGTCGTGGACGGGGAAGAGCCAAAAAAATGCTGATGTGTTTTGCCAGATTATTGATTCTTGACGATTTCAACCCATGCAAGTTCTGACAAAGTGCAAGATGGACAGGACTTAAACCGACATATGAAAGAGATCATCAAGAGGCGCATGTCTTTGGAGTTCACATCCAGCGTGGCTGCTCCTTCGCTAGAAGACATTGGCACCTCGGCCAGAGACTGTCCAAGTGCTGCCTTAAACCACAACAATTTGCATGGAAAGGTCCTCTCATGTCTTGCGCATGTTGAATGTGTTCAGCTTTATGTTCAGCTTTAGTTCTTGTATCCCCGTGGATACCGGCTATCTAAAATATTTTATAATGAGAGTGGTCGACCACGGAAAACCAATGTTTTTGACTCATTTAGTTTAAGGGTTATCTAAAATGAGTCTGTAAAAAAGTGGATGACACAGTGAACTCTTTGCACAGCCAAATTAGCCAGTCACGACAGAAAGTGGTTTTTTCCCACTTTTTAGACGAAGACCTCTGTTGTGTGAAAAGTCATTTTATATCACCAATCCTCAGTAGTCGGTAGCAACGGGGATATTCTTGTTAAAACTGTATGTTTAAACATGTTGATTCCAATTCCAACAACCGGTCAGTGACGAGGCTTGGAGGTGACCGCTTTGTGCATTCTGAAGCGAGGTCGGCGACGAAGCAATGAAGCCATGGAGCGGATGCAGTCCATGGTGCGAATGCGATCGCTGATGTCAGGTGTGGGGCAACCAGTTTTTGCACCCAGTATCACCCAGTACTGAAGGGATCTGAAGGGTATCCACACCTTTTTTGTCGCCCGCGAGAGGGGGGTAGGCCGCTAGAGGTGCTAGTAGAAGCAAACGGTAGTCTCATGGACGCTTCCTTGAAGAAGCGCTCGCACTATTCATTTGGTTCCTAGATTTTTAGGGAAACCTAAGTGAGTCTCAGACCGGTTGACTTCTCTCAACTTCAATGAAGCTCACGATGTACTTGTAGCTGTAGCTGGGCAAGATGTGGCGTCCGTCATGCAAGCGGACGACGCAGGTGCCTTCCTGGATGCATTGGATGAAGGGGAAGGAAATGAAGAAAAGGATTTTTCGTTTTCCCCTTCGCCTCGCGAGGCACCTTCTTGATGCACGTGTTTCCATCTGGAAACAGCTTGTAGCTAGGTTTTCCGTGAGCTCACAAATCAGAACAAGATTCGTAAGGATTGCCGGTTGCCTCATTCTCATGGTCAACAACAAGCCATGCATTGGTCCACTGCGATTGTTCAGGCGAAAGCACCGACTCCTGTGAGTAAGTCACCAAGGGCAGAGCCAAGAGCTGCCTTGCCAGGAAAGCCAGTGACAGGACAGACATTGTACACTGGAGCCTTGCCAGGGAAGCCAGTGACAGGACAGACATTGTACACTGGAAGCACCTCATTTTCCAGTCAAGCGCCACACCGTTTGCTAGATTCTAATGAATTGGATGTCAGCTGAATGCTCCTATCCAAAATGCCAGTAGCGCGTCATTCCGCCAGGAGATCAAGGGATCCAGGCATGGTGCCAGATTCAGCAGTAAGCTGCAAAGAATTGTAAGACAGCAATGCAAAGCTGCAACAACTCAAGATTGCGTCTTTGTTCAGGTGATATCCCAGAACTTGGGTGACAAACGGGTGGAGGCCCTGCTCCATCCGACTCCTGGTGGAGGCCAGATGCAATTTGCACCGTTGTTCTGTTTGTGTGTGTTCAGAATGTTTTGTGCTGATGTTTGCATGAGAATGCTCCCCGCAACTTTGCAGCAGATTCTGGTTGAACATTTTGAACGCGAGTCTCTTCCACTTCCAGGCAGTGTGCTTGAAGTTATGGCAAGAGGCTTTGGAGGTCCGGGGGGCTGGGCAGGTCTGTCTCAGCGGAGCCTTGTACCTTGACGAAGCCGTTGGTCACACAGCTGTGAAACTCAAAGAGGAAAGTAGTGGACAATAGAAAGCAGAGGAGAGTAGATAGAGAAGAGTAGAATAGTAGAAAACACCGTAGCAATGGCCTCCAACCTGATAGAAATGGCCTCCAAAAAAGTGGGCAGATAAGAGTAGATATATAGATAGAGCGGAGTAGAGAATTATGAAACCTGTTTGAGAGGCAGATGCTTTTGGGAGAGGCAGATGCTTTTCACCGAACAACGCAAGCGAAACGTGAAACGTGTGAAAGACTGGTGCAGCTTGGCTCAGCAATGACTGGGTCTCACATGGTCTCACTATAGCCCGCCCATTGAAAATTCAGTTGCGGCTTAAATCTGATTGCCCGATTGCCCGTCCAGGTGAGCTGATCTTTCATTGGGGTGTGATTCAGAGTCCAGGAGCAGGTTGGTCAAATCCACCCGAGGAGGCAGGGTGGTTCGGGGCGAGAGGCTCCCAAAAAATACTGACGCAGAGATCTCCATGGGTTTTGTATCAGTTTCTATGATCAGTCTCAGTTTGAACCTCAAGGCTACACTTCTTTTCCTCAAGGCTACACTTCTTCTTCACAGGATCCTTCGGACACTTATATCTAAATGAAGAACAACTGTGCAGTTGATGTTTGCAGCTGCAGGTCCAGAATGGCAGCTGGCCGACAAAGACAAAGACCTTCCCTGGTGCCAACCAAACACACTTCAGCGAAGAGGAAACTGATGGGTCCCTCGTGCAGTGTTTCTGCATTTGTGCGTCCCCCTGTGGAAGTCAGCTTTCATATCATTCGAGTGATGTTGCATTGGATGTAGAAGTCAAACCGTTTTCCATAAATATTTATACTGAGGTTCAGGCGTGTCCTGATCAGCTTCCCCAGCAAGTTCAAGCTAAGAGCTGTGAAGTTCGTTCTCCATCAACCTCCGAAAGGGTGGCAACTTGGATGAAAACAGTTGATAAGTTGCCATTATGGAGGAACTCATTCTCGCATTTGCCAATCTCAACCCTTCTCCTTCTACAGATGAGATTGTTGGTAATTCAACACTTCATTCTAAAAACTAGACGACGAGTGGCCCGAAAGCATTTTTCATCACGTAGGAAATCAGAGTGCGAGTTATCCGGTAAGTGTGTAGTGAGAAGTGTTAAGTCGAGTGAGTTGAGGTAGTGTGTGGGTTTCTGTGCGTGTGTCCATGTCCGTGTGGAAACGAGTCTGCGTATGTGTGCGTTCGTGGAAGTTGAGGGAGTGTGTGGGTGTTTGTGTGCGATGCGGCCTCCCAAACCCCCCACCGGCGGCCAAGCGGTGACAGCCCAGCTCATCGTCGTGAGCATTTGGGCTGCTGGTAAGGGGACAATGGCAGCCAGCGTGCTGGCTTACCCACTTCAACTATGATGGCAGCCAGCGTGCTGGCTTTGCCATCTGGACAATGGCAGCCAGCGTGCTGGCTTACCCACTTCAACTATGATGGCAGCCAGCGTGCTGGCTTACCCACTTCAATTAGGATGGTAGCCAGCGCGCTGGCTCATACCCACAACAATTGCATCACCACATGCCGCACTGCAGACTGAACAATAACGTGTGAATCATCTGCCTCTGGTCATCCTGGTTGACGCTGAAGAAGTGGTCGTCCACAGTGCCAAGGCCTCCCAAACCCCCCACCGGCGGCCAAGCGGTGACAGCCCAGCTCATCGTCGTGAGCATTTGGGCTGCTGGTAAGGGGACAATGGCAGCCAGCGTGCTGGCTTACCCACTTCAACTATGATGGCAGCCAGCGTGCTGGCTTTGCCATCTGGACAATGGCAGCCAGCGTGCTGGCTTACCCGCTTCAACTATGATGGCAGCCAGCGTGCTGGCTTTGCCATCTCAACAATGGCAGCCAGCGTGCTGGCTTACCCACTTCAATTAGGATGGTAGCCAGCGTGCTGGCTCATACCCACTGCAACTATGATGGCAGCCAGCGTGCTGGCTTTGCCATCTGGACAATGGCAGCCAGCGTGCTGGCTTACCCACTTCGACTATGATGCTAGCCAGCGCGCTGGCTTTGCCATCTCAACAATTGCATCACCACATGCCGCACTGCAGACTGAACAAGAACGTGTGAATCATCTGCCTCTGGTCATCCTGGTTGACGCTGAAGAAGTGGTCGTCAACAATGCCAAGGTTCCCTGGCATGATGGCTGGGCAAAGAGGAATAAGAAGGCTCTGGTTCATGTGCGATTGCAAAAGCTTGTGGGTTGCGTGAACCTTCTTCCAAGTATATTCGTCACTGCTGTTGAGTAGATATTTGAGTATAACCAACCACTATGCTTGTCATTGAGTAATTGACTGTCTCAGAGAAATTGACTGTCTCAGAGAAAAACGTGACAAAGTAGCGTGAAGTGACACACAGCAGGCACTGTAGATGTTTTAGCGCACTCTCGTTGTTCGGCTCGCGACTAGTCTTTGTACACAGCAAGGATAGCGTAGTGCTTCCGCAGAACGACGTCCACACAGAATTTATCAGGAAGAAGTCACGGCATGAGACACACAGTTGGTTGGGTCTAGCGCGTCCACCCGAAGCAGATCTGGATGGTGTAGGCATCTGTGAAGTTGCGGCTGTTGTTCCTAACCCAGTCTTCCCATCCACTGGACCACTGGACCAGCGTGCTGGCTCATACCCACTTTACCCACTTCAACTATGATGGCAGCCAGCGTGCTGGCTTTGCCATCTAGACAATGGCAGCCAGCGTGCTGGCTTACCCACTTCAACTATGATGGTAGCCAGCGTGCTGGCTTTGCCATCTCAACAATGGCAGCCAGCGTGCTGGCTTACCCACTTCAACTATGATGGTAGCCAGCGTGCTGGCTTTCCATCTGGACAATGGCAGCCAGCAAGCTGGCTTCCACTGCCTGTTATCAAGGGCACGTGTTAGTTGTACTACCAAGTCGCCAGTTCTCATCTTCCAGCTCCCCAGCTACTCC